AACTGGTCGACACAGTAGATTTCTGATGAGGTGCTGACGGCGAAGCAGACCAGGTCATCACCCGGAGAGAGGGCGATACTGTGCAGCACTGAGCTACGATCTAGAAACAGAACGGACACAGGGAGAGATGCAGCAAGCGAGGAAGTGTGCATGTACGAGTCACAGTTTGCGGCATCTATGCAACTCTTCTGATGAGATGCGTTTCAGGATAATGTTGCTCTACAGGCTGTGCTCTCTGCAACACACTGTGTTTGCTATCAGAAGTTCACGAATCTGTGTTCGCCCAGCAAAATCAGATTCTACGATTGGAGTAATACGGGCATGTTATACAATAGGGATCAGTGGCCATAGACAAAACTACCTTCACCGTACATCCCTATCTCGTGTAGTCCTCTGGGCCAGCAGCCCTGGAGTTTGCCACATCCATGCACATTGGGCACTACTTCAAGTGTTTGCTATAGGCAGTATTCGGGATATATATCATATCGCCTACCTGCACCTCTCAGCGCCCAGTTTGCAAGAAGATGGCCCGAGCCGGAGTACTTGAGGATGCGAGAGTTGCAGTGTCTGTAAAAAAAAAAGAGTAAATTATCGTGTCCGTTCCCGAAGGGAACTCACGACGGCCGCTAACACCCGGTAAACCCTAGCGGCAGATGCAGCGCCTAACGGTGGGGGTGAGTGGATAAGTCTCACAACCACTGGCACAAGTGCCGAAAACGACCCCATTAGCTGCATCCATGTACCCCTTGTGCCTGGCCACAAGTTCCCAGTTGACTGTGGGTAGCAGCACGGCTGGAAAAACCGCTCCCAGGCAGGACTTGAACCAGGTACCTCTCAGTGTCTGTGGAGGCGAATAACAGTACACATTGCAAAGCCAGATAACAGCCCAATAAAACCAACTTCATAGTCAATAACACCAGTCATAACTTATGTCACGGAATCTGTATTCCTGCAGCACGCACATCGATGTCAGACGTAACCAAAGGTCAAACCCAAAACGTAGCATTCACTAAACTTCACTGCTTATCAGTATGAACAACTCACCCATCTGCAATGAACACAGCTCCAGTACTGCTGGACACGGCGATGTCAGTTGGCTTGCAGAACTGATAGTCCCCAGTGCCGGGTATGAACTCGTCGCCGAGGGTCAGGAACGGCTTTTCCAGGCCCTGCCGAAAACCAAACACCTGACAAAGAAAATATCCCGCACACCAGGGCGAGGCTAGCATGAGTATATGCTGGCAGTCAAGCCGTTGAAATATTCATGAAGTTGAGAGTGAATAACCACTGTTTAGAAACTTTAGAGCTCACAGTACACATATTTTTCCCCCACAATAAGTGCTTTGTACAATGCGGCTCAAAACAATCAGCTTGAGAGAGTCAAGCACACGCCGGTCGCTATGCAGTCCTAGACCTGTGGACACTGGGATGTAAACTGTCCCAGGGCGTAAATTTGACTCATGCAATCGGATTTCATTGAGCAGCAGTGTATCTAAATACAACACAGTATAATTGTGATCATGGCTTGCATGGCTTCTCCACAAGGGCGTTCAATGCAAAGCCTGAACAATGCATGTACTTGCTGCATTGCTGCATAGTCAAACCTCCGGCAGGAAATTAAAGGGGGAACAACATCAGACCAGTGAGGTGCTTGTGGAAACTCCACAAACACACACGCATGTACATTGTACACACATGTGGATACACACTGTGAAGTACCTGATGTTTGGCTCGGTCAGTTATCCAGACTCTACCAAGATGATCTACAAAGATTCCATGTGGCAAATAGAAGCTGCAAGGCACACAGAGAACGAAAAAATTGAGAGCAAAAACTCAACATCAAGGCTCTAATCGATCATTCATGTTCACCATAATTCCTTCTCACACCTCATATCAGCCATAACTAGTGCAGGATTGGCTGTAGGGTTGGCTGCGAACAGCCTTTTAAAATTACCACATTCTTAAATGTCACCGCAGTCGGGAGAGTTATCCAGACTGAACTGTCTGTGTCCATAACACAACCATCAGTACTATCCGCACACGTTAAGTGAATTCACAGTGAAGCGGTCTACATGCTAAGTACACTTAGCATTTTAGTTTCTATCTACATCTTTCAGCACCCCCCCCCCCCCCAAAAAACAACCTGTCGAGATCAGTAGTCCCTTGGATCAGGCTAAAATGCAATAGATTACGTAGGGCCCGGAGAACTCACAAGTTTTTTCCCCAGCTCTTGATGACTTCACCAGTGCGTGGATCGAGCTCAAGAACAGCATCGCCGGCAATGGGGCCTTCATCTGCAAACAGGTAGATGCCATTGGCGTTGAACAATCTGCAACACAGGCAAAGGAAGGCAATGCCAGGGAGTCATAGCTTGTAATAGGGTACGTAGCCGAGCCCGATCACCAAACACGCCATTACGCAATCTACAAAAATCGTCAACGTTCTCAATGCCCTGAAGATCAATACCTGTCTGCCCCTCCACCCCCCCCCCCCCCCCTTAGCAAATGGAATCGTATGTTAGGCTGTCCAAAGTGTTAGTCCAACCCATTATGGCCGGTGCAATCAACGAGTCTGGCTCTCCAATGAGTAATTCAGGTTCAGACATCGCACACACGCTCATCACTACACTTCCAGACTACATATCCAAGCACTTCGAAGTAAGACACAATTATTAGTAAGTGAGGTTGAAGTGGAATAGCTTGTTTCTCTTCGCCCAGTACATCCAATAGCAACATACCTGTATAACTATGTATTGCTTCAACAGGCTTGGGCAGAACGAGCACAACAGGAATACATGTAGTAATGGGATAACGAGGCTGCAAAGCAGCACTACCGAAGAACTAGCTCATTGGGCCCCATCAGATGATTGATTACTGTGGACTACATACATGTCATCTCTGACACGTACACTGACGTTCCCTGCATGCTCTTATACATACACGTCATCTCTAACACTTAGTTCATTCTTTGCCGATCCAAAGGGCGGTAACTACCTTAGGAATATTTCACTTTAGAACGTGGATGTCGATCACTATGCCACGGTGCTCTAAGCTTGTACAGTGACCATGTATGAGGAGCAGGACATGAAGTACAGTGCTGGCCAAAGAAATCCAACCTCATGAATAAAGTAGTGCCACGTCAGAGAGTGCACAGACCAGTGTGTGTAGTGCTAGAGCTGCGCAGTACCCCCCCCCCCCCCCGGCGCTATTTTATTCATGAGGTTGGATTTCAGTTGCCACGGTATAGAACGCTTACTTTCCCTGCATGCTCTTGTCGGACGTGTGCACGGCCAGCACATGGCTGTTCAGCGGGTTGACAGCCACGCCAGACACCGGGCCAATGCTACTGCCACCCATGGTTGCAGGCAGCACGCCGCCGGACTCCTGCATCCAGTCGATCTCCGCAAAGTGACTGCTTATCGGATCTCGGTAGGTGTCTACACAGTTAACACACAAAGTCACGCAGCACAAGAATCTTGATTTGTCACTTGTTAACACTTAGGCGTGCACCAGACACACAGAGCATGTGTTTCAGCCAGGTTTCTGAACGACAGGCATGAAAATAGTACGTAATGCTTGCCATAAGGAATGTTGATGACAGGTAGCAGTATGTTGATCTCAATCACGTACAGACAGTTCACCACGGTAGACGCTCACTTTGGCTGGACGTTACAAGCATCTGCATCCTCTCTTCAGCCATGCAAAAGTCCCACCACAAGTACAATAACGCACCAATTTCCATTCAGTTCTCCTGTTGGGGATTTTTCCGACCACATTCTTCATGAGAATGCACCGGCGGCTTCTTGTTCATACGACCAGCATACATTTGTTGCGTAAACCTATCGCGCACGAGCAGAAGGTAGCACTTTCCGCCACTTATACCGTGTTACAGAACCTAATGGTAAAGCTACCCAATAATGATGCTCACCTCTCATATCTAGCAGGGGATTATCAATTTCCTTAGCTCGATGTGATCCGCCCGTCTCTGTCGTTGCCTTCATCGGAGTGCCCTTCAGTGGAGTGTTGAATGTGTTATTACAGTAAAAGTGGATCGGAGCAGGCCAGCGTGCTTCATACAGTACATTAGCCGAGCACTGGAGAGGCTTCCTGAACAGCACAAGAACAACGCGAGCACCAACTCAGGGTTAATAGAATCGAGATCCACATCTTGTTGGCTTTTACACGATTTCCAAGATCGTGTATTGTCATTTTCAGCATACATAACTATAGTTCTTTATTAAAAAGATGACCTTACCGAGCCTGTGACGAATTGAAGAAGCACTTGATTGCCTGCATGCGTGACACAGTGTGCAGAAGATGAAACAAAACAGTACAGTGATGTACACCACTCATGTATCAATCAACTTGAATTATTCTTATCAGTAAAGTAAAGTTTGCACGTCCGCGTTACCACCGGTTATACAATTGTATCGAGAAACACAACCAGCTTAGGAAGTTTCGCATGTCACGCCAGGCCACCACCATGCCTGTGATACCAGGGTGGCAGGTACAGCTCCTAACGGCGAGGGTGAGGTGGTTAGCCTCACAACCAATGCCCGACAAGGGGGCGAACCTCGTTAGCTGCATCCATGTTACCCGCACTCCGAGGAGTGAGTACCCAGTTGACCGTGGGCGTCGGCGCAGTTCCCTGCACGTAAAGTGGTTCACGCATGCATCACCGCATTTGTTCGCACAGTACACGCTCCCTGCTCCCAGAGCGGGTCTCGAACTCGGGACCTTGTGATTCGCAGGCAAGCCCACAACCACTCGGCCAAAGCCCTGGTACTTGTTATTCTTATGCTGGCAGTATACATGCCATATCCAAGATCAAATTTCTGGACGAAGGGAATATATAAAATTGTGCGGGACCAGTAGTACCTGGACACGGTTGTCATGATACGTACCATGAAATTGCGCGCTTTCAGTTCATCTGCATTGGCCGGCAGTTTGGACACTGCGAGCTCACCAGCCTGAAGGGAAAGAAGAGTAGACGAAGCAGTCGCTACGCATGCTGAGCGGGAACCACCAGTCCCTGGCTTTGCCTCCGTTTCCTACAGGTCATGAAACCCCAGGTTCGCTTACTGGATACATAAACTGGATGCACGATTCGAATAAAGAAGTGGGAGGTTAATTCTGTATAAACCAAGCACCAACAAGCTAGTCCCCACACACACACGCACACACACACACACACACACACACACACACACACACACACACACACACACACACACACACACTGCAAACTCGTCGTGTACACAATGCATGTACTGTGAGTCTACAAATATTCGGCGCATATTTATTTTTGGCCTGGTCATATTTGGCCAAAAATTTGTTGCGGCCGTAATTTCGGTTTGCAAGGTTCAGTGTGACAGTGTGTACAGGCAGCAGCAGTACAGGCCAAAAATTTGATGCGGCCGGAACGTGTTTTAGCCCTGGAAGGCCTGAATTTGAATAGGCCGAAAATGTGTCTACTTACAGTTCAGAGTAACGGGTAGGTGGCTCTTACCGGATTTCTCCACACCGTGGCAATCTTGCTCGTGTGCTTCCGCTGATCCATGACATACAAGTTGATGTGGGTGACTGTAAAAAACAATAGCATAGCACGGCGGTCAGAAGTTTACTGCAACATTCATACATTGCATAGATAGCCAGCAGTCTCTAGCGTCCATAATCATGCCAGAAAGCACACACGCTCCATTACCAACATTGTCCAGTAACGTAATATCACTCAGCCGTGTTCTTTTAATAAAGCATGTGCAATGTTAAACTGATCAGTGCATGATTGCAATTTTACCTTCTGCTGATGCGTCCCAGTACACCTGTATCGGTTGAAGTGTGCTCTGCTGCTTATACTGGCAGGCGCTTATCACGTGGTCTAAAAACAAAAATGCACAAATGGAAGCAAGAAGAACACAATTATGCAATGCACATTTTACGTATACAAACAGAAACACACACGGCACAATCACAAACACCCATATGCACAATCATACACATGCACGCACACTCACACACAGACACAAACAAATCCACAGACGTTTACAGAAAAAGAAACCTAGTCTCGCAGCAGAAAGGTTGTAGCGGTGCCACGAGGCCGCAGCGCATAGTTCCAGAAATATTCGATAAGGGCCCGATTTAGGTACGATCAGACCTGAATACGGGGCTGTGAGTTGCAAATATCCTGAGCCCAGAATCAGCCATGTCTAGGACGGATAAATTCGAATGGGAACCCATGCTATTTATGTAAACACCACCAGTAGACAGCGGGTCATCCATACCTCGTCCTACAGCTTGTTCATGCATCACTTTGGCATTGACTGTGGCAATTCCGCTTGTCCATGTATGTCTGAAGGAAGTCAGTTACACATGGGACAAACATTTGAAGTGTCACCTCTCAGAATCCCACGATAAGCACCACAATACCATGCACAATTGCACATAAAGATTTTCATGATCCAGCTTCATAATAGATGGCTGATACTTCTCAGTACTATGGTCATAAACTGAACATAAGGTATTCTTGTGCTGAAGGTTGGACATAAAGTGTACATCAGGTATTCTTGTGATGAAGGCTGGACATAAACTGTACATCAGGTATTCTTGTGCTGAAGGCTGGACATAAACTGTACATCAGGTATTCTAGTGCTGAAGGCTGGACATAAACTATACATAAGGTATTCTTGAGCTGAAGGTTGGACTTTGAATCACGAACAAATATATTCTTCTGAGAAGCACGGGTCAAATGGTGCTGGCAAAGAGTGCATCATGATCACAGTACAGGGAAGGATGAACTCCAGTACAGTGAAACTTCACCATCATGTGACCGTGCATCCATATGTTGTATACTGGGAGATGGTTCAATGCGTTAGACCGGCTCTGCTACTAGTACAGGCAGAGCAGACACTAGCACATGGCGTACTCACTGTAGGTCTGATAGAAGAAGGTTAGCAGAGACCTTGGGCAGAGCAGCTAACAACAACACAAACACCCACAGAACAACGGGTTTGACTGCTGTTCAAAAGCAGTAGTAGCACTGTATTGCGACAGCCACACTACGCTACAGACATCAACTGAATGCATCAAATATGCGTTGCTGGGGACCTGCCATTTGACCCACAGCTGTTGGGGTGAGGATGGTGAAGGCATGATGAAAACTCAGGCAACTTCTTTAAAAGGTACCAGGCACAGTCCGGAGTGTGACGCTTTCAATCACTAGTAAAAACTGTAGGATTCAGTGAAAAAATGTACAAGACTAAGAAGAAGAGGTATGTAGTCAATTATGTGTTTCGCTGGCCGAATTCGGCGACCTGCACCTGTCCCCGAAGTGATCTCTGATGGATAAACACCAACCATGTTGTGACAGGGTGCATCTCTATACTGTAAGTCGACAAATTGTCGGCCCAATCAAATTTCGGCCTCCCAGGGCTAAAACACACTTCGGCTGCAACACATTTCCGGCCTGTTCTGCCGCTGCCTGTATACACTGTCACACTGAACCTTGCAAAACAAAAATTCGGCTGCAACAAAATTTCGGCCGTGACAAAATTTCGGCCGTGACAAAATTTCGGCCAAATATCATCAGGCAGAAAATAGCCGAAAATAAATGTGTGCCGAATATTTGTTAACTGACAGTATCCTCTCACACCCAACCCTACAGTTAAAGTGTGCAAGGAGAAACCAGTATTCACAAGTCAACCTACAAGGTACAGGAGATGTTGGCATATAGGTGACTTCCAGCAGCACAAACTGACGACTTTTGGGTACTGGAAATCCGGCATCGCCAGCACCAACTGCAGAAAAAAAAAACAGGAAGAAAACACCGCAACCATTTCACCCACTTCTTACAATCCAAACACGAGTTAAGAGTTTGCCCTCGCCTGCGTGTTTTCCTCTCGTCTGTATTCTCCCTGTCGCAGAGATGACATTATGGTGGAAAGACTCTCCCTGGAAGGCAATAATCAGCGTTGGTGGAAGTCCCAAATTCTTCGTTCACATCAAACATCTGCTGAGAAACTTACCTTTGGCCAAAAGAAGCTGCTTTGAGGAGCCAGGATGCCACACAAATAATAGCTGGCCATTGTGAATGCTAAATGCTGGGCAGGAGCTGAGAAGAAAAAGAAATGAAAGAAAGAAAAACACTAAGTCCCAACTCTACAAGAATGCGAGTTTCCCAGCATTTGCCAGAAATGTGAAGGCACACTCAGAGCAATTGGATAAAATCAAAGACAGGCATTCAGTACCCCTCTTGGTGGATTAAAACCTAACCTGTATCGCAGCGCCAATTTAGGAGCCCCACCCGACACTTTCATCTGCGATGCGCATTGGAGCCCAATATGGGACCTACATGTATAACTACTCATATACAAACGAAAATCCTGTGGAACAAAAAGTGATCAAATGTTCCTACTCACGAGTTTCATGCTGAAAAGCCATCATCAGAAGGCTGGGAACTACTCTAATTTCAGAAATTTTCGGTGCTCAATATTTTCGGTATGAGGGCAAAAGGCCAGGTTTAGGTGAACAGAAATTTTAGGTACAGAGGAGCAGTACCCCATTGGATTATGTGTTCTGGTGTTTGTTCGGTGTAGTGAAATTTTAGGTATGAAACAGACGCATCGAAAGTAATGGAAATAAAAGTACACCGAAAATGTGTGAAATTACAGTACTCATTGTATGTACAGTATTCACCAGGCCTCCTAGAGTGATCGCCCGCCCATATGTTAGACTACAAGGGTAGAATTGTTTACTAGGTGAGTCCCGACAGGCGATGCTACATTACAGAGAGCCCTGGCTGGATGAAGTTTACTATGAAAAGTATCAAAAATGGTAGGATATTTTATGCGTACTGCGTCTCCCCTCAAAATCCAAAGCATAGCATGTACACATGAAACACTACCACCAAGAGTAGATAAACAAGAGTGTGCAACTCGCGGATGGGTTGGCCCACGGCGGAATTTTTTGTTGACGTAATCTTTTCGACGACGCACGCGCTATGAGTCTTTTGGTAAGTTTTCCCTCGTGCACTTGGCCGCATTTGCACTACAAAGTCGGTGCCCAGCACGTGCTCTCACACTGCTCTGCGGCAAAATGCGCGTTCTTCTGAAAAAAGGTGACGTCAACAAAAATTCCGCCGTGGGCGGGGGTATCTGCAGATTGTGCAGGAGAGATCCGGAGTTGCACACTCTTGTTTATCTACTCTTGCTACCACTCAGGTCAAGAAAAACTTGGACGGGTGAAGAACAAACACGAGCACACGCAAAAAGGTGGATGACACCACTCGAGTACATAATTATGCTATCACTAAACGTGTCGTTGGTTGACAGCATGTAGCAAGGTGGAGGACACCGTGTTCGAAAACAGTGACCTTTCTACAACCATTTGTCTAATACCATGTTATCACTAGTAGGTCAGAAATCAGTACTGTACATCATGCAATGACAAGTATAGCAACAAGAGGCTCTGTATATACTCGTCCCGTACCTTGGCACCGGGTATAGGTACTGGCTGGTAGAATCGAGAAACACACGAACTTTGGACACGTGTTCAGGAACATCCAGAGATAGCGCACCTGAACAGAAACCAGCACAAAGTATGAGATGACACCGGTCAACATTTTAAAGAATAATGAAGAAGTAATTGAGCAGGCAATGGTGCTTTCTTGCAGGTTTGCCGAGTTGAACATTTTATGGACTTCTCCTGTGCTCTGGATGGCAGTCGTGAGTCAGTCAAGTGTCAAGTAAGTCGGCGGAAAAGCGCGAGCTCCGGTGTGGGGAGCAAACATCTTTCCCGGGAAGTAACCTGTCATTATAAGTTATGCCCTCACTTAGATACTGGCCATCAAATACAACTCCAATGACTCAGCATCCGGTTGTAAAGGAATATCCCAGCATTCCTTTTCACGAAGATATAATCAAGGGAATGCGTTCTCAGTCGTCACTGTTTGAGCTCCATTAGCAAGTGTACACAGCATAAAAGATTTTAGTCCTCAAGCTACCAACATCGCTTACTGATGAATTTAGCTGCTGGACCTAGCTCCTGATGAACACAATACGTCAGGCCACCTTGATCCAGCTGGAGAAGGGGCACAGAAAACGGCAGCAACAAACTCAGACCCAACTGTCCAACAGATGTCCTACGGATGCGGAAAACTCGGTTTCCAGCCGAGTCTCACGCGAACCGTGAAATTTTTTTAGTCCAACAGGTGGAATAGTCTTACAGTAACGGCAATCCAAAGAGTTAGTCACCCTCGGCAACCACGCAAGAGGTCCTAAATACTAGTAATGAGCAAGTATCTCCTTGCCTCCGTGTGTAGGATAACAAGCAGCACGTAAACAGCTCCTACACTAACTGATCATCTTCTTTCACTCTTTCAGTTACTCCAATTTCAGAAATTTTAGGTGCTCGGATTTTTTACGTATTAAGAGTCAATGTCTGTAACGGCCAAATAACTCAAAGGGTGAACGAAGATGTTCAGTTAGTGTAGGAGCTGTTTATGTGATAATGGATAAAGGGAGCCAACGTTGAGCGAAATCGGAAATGTGGCCATGCCCAGAGACCTTCCCTGGAAATTGGGCAAAATCCAAAAATTCCACTAAAATACGCACTGAAACAAGGTACTGAAGTACAAGAACGAGGGGTCACTGCTGCTCACAATAACACAGCGCAGCCAAACCAACCATGTTCGCACACCGATCCAAGTCACCTAGCAAAGTTTAGCCATCCTACTTTCGCTCGGACTGGTGACCTGCCGAGTCCCTCGAAGGAATCGATTAACCCAGCCTGTCCAATGGCGGCCATTACGAAGGCCTTCTTCTTTCGAGGGACTCAGCAAGTCGCCAGTCAAAAATTGGATGGCTAAACATTACTAGGTAACTTGGATCGGTGTGCAAACATAGTTGGTTTGGCTGTGCTGTGTTAGTGTGAGCAGCGATGACCCTTCATTCTTGTACCTTGTTTGAAGGTATTTCAGAGCGAATATTTTTCGCTTTTTATTTTGGGCTGTATATAATTATATCTAAGGAACACAACACCCTTCTGGACCAAACTGTAATAGTGGGTGAATGAGGTCCAGCCAGGAATAAAAGGAGCCAACTTTGAGCGAAGTCGAAAATTTGGCCATGTCCGGTGATATTTGGCCGTTACAGACATTGGGTGCTTTCGATTACACATCTGGGCCTAGGTTTTATAATTCCTGAATGAACAGAATGAACGGACTGCAGTCATGTAAACGAACGACAATACGTAAAAATCGTAAAAGAGGATCACAAGAGATCCCGTGCACCCTCGCGCGCGGATGTGGACCTAGCATGGCGTTAACGTCGAGTGCGTCAAATCTGGGATTTGCAATTCCGCCCCCTCTTCAGAATTGACGGAATTGGAATTGACAACGGAATTTGTGTAATCGAACGGTGCATCCATCATAACTACATTTCATCGTACATGTAGCATAAATTCTACCATATTGCAACATAACATACAACATAATTCATGCCGAAGCAAGGGGGAAGGGCAGATGAATGAGGACATGGGACTGGATAAAAAGAGCATGCTAACGTCAGTGAGATTTTTACTTGTCTTCACACTGGTGTGTTGTGCAATATTTTCACAATGTAGGCAACAACCATGCACCAGCACTACACGAATGGCCATTTCTACACGTGCCTGCACTGGTGGTGCATGCAATGATGTATTTTCTTTGCACAGGACTCAGTGCAAGTCTGGACTGGCACCGTTCATGGGTACGAACAGAACTTACACGACTGGAAAGGACGCCAGATAGCTGGGCCGTAAACGACGTGCCACTCTCGGCACTCAGCGCCACATGCACAGTGCTGCACAACACACTGACAGAGAACAGCGCTAGAAGTCGTCCGCTGTCCATGACTAAACCACCGACGCACACGGTTCTTGCCCTCCAAAGGCAAAGGCGCAGGTCTAGTGTTCTTCACCAGCGAGAGGAAGCGTTATGCTGCTTTCGCAAACACTACACTCCCTTCCTTGCCATTCGTGCAGAAGCTTCAGTTCCTTTGTTTTCCGCCAGTCTAGCCTAGGGATTGCATAAGGTGATTTATCTTCAAATCCGCCAAGTGGGCTAGCAGTAGTGTGCTCTTCCCCTTGTAAGTAACACTAACTCAACGAAGTGGTGTCATTGGACCAATTCGCCAGCGTCGGACGCCGGCCGCTGCAGCGGAACTATTTGAAATGGCATTTAGCTACATGTAGAGTAGGTCAGAAAGAGACCCGGAGAGCGACTCGCAGACCAATGCCAACACGGAGATCAAAGTAAGCACTTGTCGTTTGCTACTCTCAGAATTATTTTTGATCTCCGACAGCGATACTGACTGCCTGTTCTATCACTTTGGTACTTTGGTGAGTTTGGAAGGGCAAATCCCGTGTATTGATTGTACACCATGTACACGTAGATCTAATAGTAATACTAGTACAGTCATGTAATAGTAATACGTGTTGACTGTTGTATGCAGTTGTTTGCGCTTGTTCCGGCCAATGCCGGCAACATGTTAAAGGGGAAGTATACCCTAAAATCAAATTTTCACCAGTTGTAGTCTTCTGGGTGCTGAGTCGAATGGTCTTGGTCCGAGGAAGCTGCGACGCTCCCTTCCTACTTGAATCCCAATCGAACTCGCGCACTTCCACCGAAACTGGGTGACTGCGCCCTACTAGATGGGGATTTGTATGCAAAATGTCACTAAAAGTGCCATTTCGTTCTTATAAAAGCACGGATGACCGCGATTGGCCCATATGTTGTAGTCTTTTGGACGCTGAGTCGACTGGTTTTGGTCCGAAAAGGCTGCGATGCAGCGTTCCTCCTTTATTCCCAATCGAACATGGTTGAACAAGCGGTCACGTGCTCCTGGGTGCCCAAATCACCTGGTCACCACGCCAGCAGGCGACAAATTTCACACCAAGGTTCAACTCGAGTTCAACTCGAGTGACAGGAGTGCACCCAAAAAAGGTCAAACAGGCTAGTAAGTTGTACCCTGCAGGCACGGTGACCAGGTGACTGGTGTACGCAGGAGCACGTGACCGCTTGTTCAACCATGTTCGATTGGGAATAAAGGAGGAACGCTACATCGCAGCCTTTTCGGACCAAAACCAGTCGACTCAGCGTCCAAAAGACTACAACATATGGGCCAATCGCGGTCAAAGGGGAAGTATACCCTAAAATCAAATTTTCACCAGTTGTAGTCTTCGGGGTGCTGAGTCGAATGGTCTTGGTCCGAGGAAGCTGAGACGCTCCCTTCCTACTTGAATCCCAATCGAACTCGCGCACTTCCACCGAGACTGGGTGACTGCGCCCTACTAGATGGGGATTTGTATGCAAAATGTCACTAAAAGCGCCATTTCGTTCTTATAAAAGCACGGATGACCGCGATTGGCCCATATGTTGTAGTCTTTTGGACGCTGAGTCGACTGGTTTTGGTCCGAAAAGGCTGCGATGCAGCGTTCCTCCTTTATTCCCAATCGAACATGGTTGAACAAGCGGTCACGTGCTCCTGGGTGCCCAAATCACCTGGTCACCACGCCAGCAGGCGACAAATTTCACACCAAGGTTCAACTCGAGTTCAACTCGAGTGACAGGAGTGCACCCAAAAAAGGTCAAACAGGCTAGTAAGTTGTACCCTGCAGGCACGGTGACCAGGTGACTGGTGTACGCAGGAGCACGTGACCGCTTGTTCAACCATGTTCGATTGGGAATAAAGGAGGAACGCTACATCGCAGCCTTTTCGGACCAAAACCAGTCGACTCAGCGTCCAAAAGACTACAACATATGGGCCAATCGCGGTCATCCGTGCTTTTATAAGAACGAAATGGCGCTTTTAGTGACATTTTGCATACAAATCCCCATCTAGTAGGGCGCAGTCACCCAGTCTCGGTGGAAGTGCGCGAGTTCGATTGGGATTCAAGTAGGAAGGGAGCGTCTCAGCTTCCTCGGACCAAGACCATTCGACTCAGCACCCCGAAGACTACAACTGGTGAAAATTTGATTTTAGGGTATACTTCCCCTTTAACATACGACCTGATCATGAGTCATGTACTAATACGTAGTGTGGAATGTGGATGCATTCACGCATGCCGCCCTGCGCCGGCTACAAACGGTGACGCGATTCACGCGAAGCGAAACTGAGTTACGTCGAGCGGATCGCGAAGGCAGGGCCCATCTGACTGGGTGCTGCAGTCTGGGACACGACTTTGGTCCATTATTATTATTATTGACCATGATCCACGACTCGACATCCCTACATGTATGATGTAGGTCTACACAATCAGTTATTCTACATGTAGATCTACGTACATTATTGTCAATCATCAACATGATCGAGTAGATCTTACTACCGTAGATTCTACGCTGGCATGTCTACTCAAGACCTGTACTGGCTTTTGTCTTGATTTCCCGGAGTCTGAGATATGCGCCTGTCACTATGACTGTGAGTAGATCTACCATGTACCACTACTAGTAAAGTACATGTAGTATCTTGGCACACATCGGTCTCGTCCACTACTGCTGTCCAGGCTCCCGGACACAAGCTGTCAGTGTTACCGTTGTTGAGCCGGAAGTACATGGTTGACTAGCAGTGCTCGACTCAGCCTCTCACGGCTAGGGGAGTGGAATCAATGAATGAAGGGCCTGGAAAATGACCAGCTTCCGGAAGTACTAAACTGTAGTCGTTACCATGGTTACCTACCTGAGGCTGAGGCTCCCTCGATATTGATATTATTATTCATAACACACATGTACTTTACATGTACAATGTACACAGTTTTAGGTCCCGGGTACGTGTCCTGTTGCCTGGGTCTGGGCCAGTCTGCCATCGTTTTCTCTTCTACAAGTAAGGCGGTTCACATTAGCGAGAATTCCCCTAGGGTGCTCAACACCACAAGGATGGAAATTGTAGGGGCACAAAGCCTCCTTTCTGTCGACTCTACATGTGCATGCATTACAATCTTGTCATGAGCAATGCTCTAACCAACCGAGCCATTACATGTATATGGGACCAGGCTGAACCTATAAAAAATGTAGAAGGCGCTGACACGTTTTCAGTCCAAAAGCAGCTGCCAACACCTTCAAAATCCATTTTAAATAACTTTCATTCACCTCTCTGTCTGGTATTACGTTCCAGAAACTGACCGTGGTTGGTCCCCTGGGGAGGGAAAAAGACCCAAGTGCCATCAGTAGTTACTGTTATGGGTGGCACGTGTTGTGAGCTGCCTTTGGAGTGCTAGAGCTGACAGCCAATAGATGTAGAACGTCAGTACCGTCGGTTAGTGTCGTACAGTGTTATTGCATGAACTGACTGTAAAGTAACTGGTGGTGTTAGTGGACATTACGGCGTAACTTGTAGTTCCTTGATCCTTTTTCTTTTCTATAATTATTAAACTCAGAGTTTCATGCACAACCGTACTGTCATCAGACAACATGATGGGTAAGCCGGTATGTGTGTGTGTGGGGGGGGGGACCTGGGTGCGGGTTGTGAGAGTAATGTTAGGCCTTACTTAGGGTGCTAGTGTGGGTGTCGCAGCAGTGATGGCTACGTAGGCATGTGGACAGGTGATAGGCGTAGATCTATTGGGTGTGGGGCATTGGCGAGGTTGTAGGGATGGTGGGGGTGAGTAGGGTATGGGTCTATGGCAGTAGAGGTACAATGTAGTTACATGTACATGTAGGTGACGTCATGGTGTTTTGGGAGGAACTTGTTTTCATTTTGGCACTTTGAAACATGTTATGGGCGCTTATTTGGGAATTCCATGCACAGCATTCCTGACATAGCTCACACTCTCCTCTCCCACACATAGCTTTTGCAATGGTGCAGCATTCCGAGGGTGAGCTTCCTTTGTTTGGACTCCGCTCCTCCGCGTAGCTGTCACTACCGGACCTTCTTCTTCACTATCTCATGCATACCAACTGTTGCTTCCCGCTGTTCTAGCGACCTTAGGAGGTCTAGCCACCCACGACTCCATCCACATGCCTGCTCTTCTACTAAAATACAACATTCTCTATTGCCCTCCACCTACATGTACATGTACATTGCACATTGTATTATTATTATTGTGTGAGTCACAAGCCTCTTTTGCCGGCAAAAATTAATTCAATCATGGATAAAAGTGCAATACAACATACACTGGAGAAGAAACCAGAAAAATGCATGTGTCCTTTCCTTCTTCATTGCCTCACAACCTAGAGTCCTAGTCGCAATGTTCGGTAGTCGGACTTTACTTGTCAATCACCCGTAACCGTTGACCTTGCCGTTGCACGTGCCTAAACGTCATGTGCAAGTGACCTCTTAGTCTTAGAACTTACTTGGTGAAGTAAAATAGATGATAGAAAACTGATGGGAGTGAATCAGACTAGACTGCAGAAGTAGATGGAGGCTGATTCGACCTCGCAAACAAGGAACACAGTATTCTCAACATTTCCCATCTTACATAATTATAGGTCTCCGCGATGATACTGTTTCTCTGGAATGAGTCTGAAGGCACTCGAGAAATGAACGAGTATGCATTTGTTCGACATGTACATGTAGCCTGTGGCCTTCTTGGCTTGGGCCAAGGTTGCGGAAACGTTGCGAAGTAGTTCGCGAAAGAGAAGAAAGTTGCGATTTCTTCCAAAACAACGAAAAGTTGCGGAAAAAGTAGCGAGCATCTTCAGGAAAGGGCTGGTTTGGAATACATGACAATAGATGGTCGATCGGATCGGACGTCATTATTATCGTCATGACAATTCCACTGAAAAACTCTAAAATGAATTGTAGTCCATGAGAATAACATACCGTGAAAATGAACACCTCATGTACACGTGTACATGTAGCTTCTGTCAGTGTCGAAGTACATTGTGCATGTACATGTACAATACCGGTAGTACATCCAGGACCACGCCTCGTCCTACTGACACTGACTGCTATGGGGGCGTATCATGTAAATACTTCAAAGCAAATGTTCTCTCCCTTGATGGCTACTAGTATTATAAAGCGGAAGGATTGTGATGAAGGCTTTGTTCGTGTTCATGATTATTAGATGTGCCAACTAGGGACAGGGTACGGGTGCCGGTCCACAGTCAGTACCTGAGCAGTCATGTGGTCATGACCAGTGCAGCACGACTGGAGGAAGAAGGCGGAAGACTAGGATTGAGTGGGAGACATACAGTCATACCAGTGCTTCTCCACGACTCCAGCTAGTCTAGATCACCATCCAGCTCTGTCTCACGCCAGACCCACGGTCTGTACAGCAATGTGGAGACTCCCAGAGTCCCTGGCCAAACGCATACTAATACTAGACTACTACCATGACTGCTAGACGAGTCCCTGGCCAAACGCATACTAATACTAGACTACTACCATGACTGCTAGACGTTTGTCACAACCGCAGAGCGACAAATCTGTCTCACCCTATGTTACTGCGTACTGTACATAATAGTTGTATACCAGGTATACCCTACAGCGACCTGTAGACTTGTGTAGAGGAGAGTGTTCATGAAGCAGTAACAGCTTAGCCATAATCACTCTGTCGCTATGCGTGTACGTGACACTTGCCAAACTCCACTTCTACCGTCATCTCCGACGGTCTGCTCTTGTCTGTGTCGTTTCTGAGTCTCTAGCATATTAATTTCTAATTTTGATATTTTGAGTTACAGATACAGCACTTTGGATGCGAGAAACCTCGTTTATGATGAACATTTGGTCAACAACACGCAACAGGGAGAGAAGCCGATCCACGAGTGCTGCTAGATTGGTGAGGTGCTCTAGATACAGCCAAGAAGGCTCCCGGTCAATCCTGCATATTCAAGATGTTCTGTGCAACTAGTACTTGCCAAACTGGCGTTCGGTCGGGAAGCCTCCGTGTTGAGAACCAGTCGCCCAGCAGCAATGCCCACCGACAGGTGCTGCATGCAGGCATGAAGGAGCGCCAAACAACCTTGAAGGGAGTCGGCAATAAGTACGAATGATTTCGTTTGTACCCGATCATCCTGCAGCAAGACTGAAGGCATGTGTTTTCTCCTTGTTTTACGCATTATTGTTTCCGTGTGGATAGGTCCAAAGTGCAAGTGATGTTTGCAAGTCACGCCAATGGGCAGAATAGACGAGTCGGAAATGCCCTACGGCGGCCATGGCACCAGGAGGACGAACAGGACCGGGAGGAGTAAGAGATGCCAAGCACCCGACAGAGTCTACAGCAAATGTTCTCTGCCATGGTGGGGTATAGTTTCAACCAGGGAGTCGTCAAATACCAATATCAAGTATTAATTTTGATGACTCCCTGGTTTCCACACACAGCATACACGTAATGCACAAAAAACACCCCAAAAAAACTGAAAAAACCGAAAAAAAACAAAAAAAACAAAAAACACAAGTACAATATTTTTACTACCTATACTCGTTCTGGCACCACCGAGCATTATCCTTTTCCTGTTCTTCAGCAGCATGGCAGTGCAGGGTTCTAGAGGCACAGCCAGGCGTCTGGTATTTTTGATCAGGAACAGTAACGAGATCCGCATGCAGACTTTGAAATCTGATGGGATGATCGGGGACGGCGCCCTTAGCACTTTTAGCACGTACATGCACTGAAGTTCATGTCCACACTGTAAAAATGGACCAGCCGTGCTCGCGGCTGCAAGGCCAGCGCCCAGTGGCTGCTTGACTGCTCAGCGAATTTTAATGTTCGCAGCAGTACATGAATAATCATTGAACATGCATGCATATGATCAGAAATGAACACCAAAAGGAGAGTCCTGGTCTCAAGGATGCTTACTCTAAATATGCTCCCGCCGGTTTTCCGCTGGTTTCTTAGGGAAGTGGATCAGAGAAGGCTGAGTAAATGCAGTCGGATCGAAGTGTGTCTAGCCGCTTCCATTTGAGGTCTTGGCAACAATTATACACGTTATGTCAATGAGGTCAACGTCATTTGAAATGAGTTCATCGAATATGCTTTGTATGAAGTGCATGGTGTAGAAACCAGTGGCGTACTGGGTGGCCGACTGCTATTTTTGTATTGAGATGTGAAAGAAAAAATGTGTTGATTGGCTCGCCATTCATAAGGCAGTGCTGGTGTTCTAGAGGAGCGGCACCGGCATCCCAGTCAGTGGCACGGCATTGCCTGGCACTCCATATGAAGTATCTGAATTCTGAAAATTAATGATGATGTACAGTCAACCTCCAGGGTTTATCGGGTGTTAGCGGCCGTCGTGAGTTCCCTTCGGGAACGGATACGATAATTTACTTTTTTACAGTCAACCTCGTGAATAGCGAATTCAGATATAAGAACTACTCATGAATAATGACATAATCTTCAGACCTAGTGACCATTTGACTGCATGCGTACTTTCAACCTGACGAATAACAACAACTTGTGCAAAACAACACTTGTCTCATGCACGACCGAGGGCCGCCGGTCAGTATTCACCAGGTTGACTGCAAAAGCATATCCTCTACAAACACACCAGTACTTGAGTTCTTGGCGTAATTCTTCTCTGAATCACACGTGTGTACAATGGATTAAAATGCAATACAACATACACTGGAGAAGAAATCAGGAAATGCATGTATAAAATTAAGATTTTCAAACCCAAACCCGAAAAAACTTCAACTTAAAAATACTTCGAAGTATAAAATACTTGAAAATACGTACCTCGTTGGAGCAATCAACTTCTTGATAATACGTGTCATAGCCTGTTACCCAAGCTCCTCTACGGTGTCTGTGTGTGTTGTCAGACCTGTGTTCGCCTTCGATTGGCGAGGACGACAGAAGCTGGAGCGATCGCAAGTGCGAGCACGCACTGGCCGACCATGTACCGGTGCGCCACCGACCTTGAAACCACCGGGCATGGGACGACCAATTACGACGTTTGTCCGAGCCAAAGGACATGGCTCCAAACTGGTGGTAAGCGGAGCTTTCAAGGTGGGGTCGCATCGTCCCTACACAACCCCCGCAACGATTCCAACTCAAGGCAGCCAGGACAGGAACCGACCAAAAGCTCACAAACGCAAGGACCCGCTGGAACGAGGAGAATCCCAGAGAAGATCCGGAACGAAGAGTAAGTCGAAGCCATGGCGGCCTTACACCGGAGCACCTGGGGGGACTCACCCTGGTACACTCTACCTGGGGCGACCACAACCGGTGATAAAGCCAACAGCAGATGAGGTGGGTTTTCAAGTCAGTTCCTGTTGTATACCTGAACCTAAATTAACATAAAAGAGAGTGAAACCTCTTTTAAAAACGTACCTCTAACAACAACATGAAAATCTGTATTGTGGTCTGGTAAAGAATGTTCAAGTTCATCAAGATTGTGCCTACATATATACTTACTAGATGTGCTGAGAAAAGTATTCTACCCTCTATATCCAGGATTTATGATGTGACTTTTGAAGTACAATGAAAGTTTTGTTGTGCATTGATGCTCATGTGTAGCGAGAATGGCGAGAATTGATGGCGAGAACACAGCCTCCGTATTGTGAAGTCATGCAGTCACATACCATAGCATTTCAACTCCATGCAGGTAATCAGAATTATAGACAGCTATGAGATGACTGTTCCTTCTGGATGAGCCGAATTATAATTATAGTTTTCGCACACTTCCAGTCCATTAGAGGCACATCATCAAGTTTTCTACCAACTTGAAAATAATTTGTGTAAGTTTGACCTTGCTTTTGCCTTGGATCCACAGAAGGAAGAGGACGATGAGATTGAGTTCGGTAAAGGGCGAGGCTATGAAATGTCAAAGTCTGCTTCAAAACATTTCATGGACGTGGATCCTACAAAGTTCTTCAAGGAAGATGACGTATGTGGTGACCTCTTTCCAGCACTTCCCGGCGCAATAAAAATCCCGCGTTGTGTATGCATGTGTATTTCTTAATGTGGCACACTTGGAATGCATATTCCAAGTCACTAGACGATGTCCCTCAATTTAGGACACATTTGTGAAATCTCAGCAATTGTCGCTAGTCATGTGATGAGCCACACTATAGAAAGGAAACCTCTCTTTACAGGACAGACGTGTCTGGTCCCCAGAGTTTCCACTCCACGGAAAAGAGTTGTTGTTTCTCCGCTTGAATCCAACCTCATCACGATTCCAACGCAGGGCGGAAAATGATTGTCTTCCGGCATGTAACCCATACACTGTATATATCCTTCAAAGTTTACGTTCGTCCAATGAAAAACTGTTCCACTCCGTGCGGAATGGTTGGACAGCCTGCAATAGTTTGTATGTTTCTCTTCCTGTAGGGCACAAAGGATCTCCATGAACAACTGTAAGTGCCAAATCAGCTTTTAGCATTGAAATTAGGAAGTCAATAAGTGAAGATCAAACAGATGTAGAGAATATCTTATGACCTCAAGTCTGTCGAAAAGTGTCAATCAACAAAACTTGTGCAGGAGTTGCGATAGCCGAATACTAGTACCATCATATAAGACATTATGTTTGCATGCTATAAGTACATTTCCGTTTTTTTAAAAGATTTTCTGCTAAAAAATGTCAATTCTCCTGCACATTGGTGTTCGTTATATCGGGAGTCGGCTAAGTGACGTTATAACCTCACCTTACTGAAGGTGGGACTGGATAGTTTTATCCTTTATCCACATCGTTTTTTTCATGAGCTCATGAAAAAGCCTTACCTAGGAATATACAATTCTCAAAGAGCTTTCTTGCATCGCACTGTTTTCTTGCATTTTGAATTTGTGAGTGCGCAGATGGCCCTTTTCCATCTCATTGGTAATTCTCTAAATTCGAAATCCCGTTAATTATCCTGATGTGTTCAAACTGTTCCTATTCTTGCACCCAGGATTACAGTTCAAGAGGATTATAAGAACTGGTGAGTCCATACGGTATCGTTTGTGATCTTCAAAAAAGTTCCCAGACATGGCATTTCACCAATACGATTACAATCAGTACCGCTAGAAGCAGTATTCAATTTGTTCAGTTGTACCAAAACCTTTCATACTTTGTGGTTGATGTAGTGGGAACATGTAACCATGGTAACCTCCTCAGCAGTACACATGCAATGTTGGCCTCAACTTGAGGTGGTCCGGTGATAACCTGACCAACCGGACCGGTTCCGGCAGGCCTGGCCAGAACATTGCATGCTTGAATTGAGAGGCAATGAACTTGACGTATTTCGTATGAGGTGGAGTTTAGGATTTGATGCGACATTGCATATTGGTGCCATCATCCAGCCTTTCTCAAACCATACCATTACTAGTGTGCCCTTTCTGTGTTGGAGTTTACTTTGATGATGGATTTTACCTGGCAATGCACTCAGCATCACCGGTGGACCCTGTACATGCGTGACACCACCAATCGGAAACAGCTACTTCAAAAATCAAAAAAAAAAAATGATCATGTCTCTCTTGTCAAGCGCGGTTGAGAGTCGGGCACTGTTTCACAGGTTTGGTCCAGTGGATGTGAAGAATGGGCAATTCAGCCCATCTTCTACAACTCGTACGTGGGTCAAATTCATGACATGTATTTAAACGTGCCTAGATATACAATACT